TTGAGCACTACAGGTATGAACTCAGTCTGCTGAGATCCCTGTGCTGCTTGTTGCAAGCCCCACCACCCTTCTCCATCGATCATAGTCAGATTCTCAGTGACTGAGCCCTGCAGATACACCTGCAGTCCCCGTGGTGCAAGATCAGAGGAGGGGCTCCCACAAAGTGACCCACAGTGCTGGGAGGGTGGGTTAGTTGTCCCCATTGGGTTCTCTTTTCCTACTGGAGGCTCAGGGGAGATCTCTTTGTGTTTTGCTGTGCTGGCCTGGGGGAGGGGCAAGGTGGTCAACATGTAGCCTCTTCTCTTCCCCTCTAATGCAGTCTGTCTTGATCTCTGACGTGCAGGCGGGTGGTTCAGTCTCCCATGTTCTAGGGTTGTATCAGTGGTGTCGTCTCGTTGGTTATTCTTCTTGTGAGGGAGAGTGAAGTCAGGAACACCCTATATCACCATCTTGGTGATGTCACCTGTGAAAATTGATCTTAATTACCACCAATATTTCCTTGTCTTTTGCCCACTCCAGCATTCTTGCTTCCAAGAGATAATCATCATTTGTAACAGTTTAGTATGTATCCTTCGAGACCCTGTTGCAATAACTCTATATCCCTGATTACTAACCGTTTATTTACAGTGATAACTCATTTCTTTTGAAGTCCCTATACTGGGTTGGTGGTGACTTTGTTCATCGTTATTTTCTTGTCAACACTATCATCAATGAGGAGTGCAAATAGGATGAATCAGATTTGCACCTTAACCTCAGTTTGCTTTCATTGTAGTAGGAGAGCTGTATGCAGTGATAACTATAATACAAGATGAAAAAGGTGTAAGAGAGGAACAGATGAAGTGATGTAGGATTTTGGGAGGGAGGAAAAATTTTCCCTTTGGCCAGAAGGTAACATTTGAACTATATCCTAAAAGACAGACAAGGTTTGGGTTGGGGGAAAGGCAAAAAGCAGATATACTGGCAGGAGAAAGGCACAGAGATGTGGTGAGTTTACAGAGTTATTCCATTTTCCTAGACTGTAGCATGCATATATGGGAGTAGCAGCAGATCAAGATGCAAAGGTAGTTTTGGGGAGAACTCTGAACACCTCTGTAATATCTTTACAAATCTTTGAACAGAATAGTGGCATGACTAGAAATATGCATTAGGAATATTAATCAGACATTAGAGAGGATAGAGTATCAGTCACAAGCGTTGCAATAATTTGGAAGAAGAATTAATGCAATGAGGTGTAGTGGCCATAGAGCTGTTGCTGAAACAGGACCTGTAGGTCTTAGCAACTACCATATTCCATAAGATCTAAGAAGGCTTTGATTATAAGACACAGTTTTATTTTATGTACCAGTGAGGGGGGAAAAACATTGCCAGTTGATTTTCAGACCACCAATTATAAGATGTATCCTGATTTTAGAGATTATAATAATGGAGAAATGTGCATTATAAAAATCAGTGAAATAGAGTATTTGCATGGGTACAGTGAAAAGATGGGGTATGCAAAAAAGAAAGGAAACAGTTTAGAAAATGAAAGAAGGCAGGTGAGATCAAAGATACAAATAGAGAAGTGGATCTTGAAGAGGAAGAAATGAATGAGCAATGACTCAGAGAAGTTTAAAAGTTGAGAAGCTAAAAACATTAAGCAAACTCATTAAATAATCTCCATCTTGGTAAAAGAGGAGGCAAGGTCATCTGCAAAAAGAATGACAGTGGTGGGTTTGAGGGCTTGGGACTTAAGAGTGAAAAGGTTTCAGGTGAGTGGAGCATGAAAGATGGAATATTAAAGACGGTTGGTTAGAAAGGACTAAAAGAATTCCCGTCAGAAATGAAGGACCCAGGGGCCGGCCCCATGGCCGAGTGGTTAAGTTCGTGCACTTTGCTTTGGGGGCCCAGGGTTTTGCCAGTTTGGATCCTGGGTGTGGACATGGCATCGCTTACCAAGCCATGCTGAGGCAGCGTCCCACATACCACAACTAGAAGGACCCACAACTAAAAATATACAACTAGGTACTGGGACGCTTTGGGGAGAAAAAGGAAAAATAAAATCTTTGAAAAAGAAATGAGGGGCTCAGCTAAGGCTGAAAAGCACAGACTTATAAAGAAACCAATTGGCCCTATCTTATGACTTTGTCCAGGAACAGTTGGTACCCTGAGAAAAAGATGGAAGAAAACACATGGAAGGTACTTTCTCTGCAGGGTAGGAGATTGGCTGGACAGGTATGGTGGAAGGACAGAAAAGCTAAATAATCCCAGTTTCTCCTAAGGGATGGGGTTTATTTGGCTCGCCATGGAGTTCAGGCTAAGAAATGAGAGTTGAGGCCAGAAGAAGAGTAATAGATAAACAGATTTTTTTTTTTAAGTTAGGGAGGTGGTTTTAAAAAGATTCAAGATTAAAATATAAAGAAAGTAAAGAATAAATTAATTTGAAGAGGAGGAGTAGGTCAGTAGAAAGTTGATTGGGGAATTTCAGACTTTAAGATTATGGAATTCTGGGGATTGCGTCTTAAAGAAGTATTATCTTTCTAAAACACAGATCAGAGTCTCTCTGTGTGGCTTGAAAACCTCTATTTCAGGATGAAGTCTTTACTACTTAACAGAATAGACAAAGCTCATCACAAGCTGACCCCATCCTACTTTTCCAGGCTAATATCTTATTTCTTCTTGTGAGGCCCATATTCTTACCACACTGAACTCTTCTCTGTGCCCAGAATCCTCAAGGCTTTTATCTACCTTTTGCCTTTGCACATGCTGCTCCCTTTGCATGAAATGCTCTTCCGCCTTTCTTCTGCCTTGCAAACTCCTGCCCATCTTTAAGACCTAATTAGATGCCACTTGCTCTGCTAAGTCTTTCCAGGCTCCTGCAAACAGTACTGAGCACCCCTTCATCTGTTCTCCCACACTACTCTGCCCAGACAGCCTATGGAATTTTACCACAAGTATATTGATTTATATGTCTCTCTCTCCAGTAGATTATAAACTCCTTGAAGTCAGAAACTATCTAATTCTCTTCTTTACCCATAGTGCAAGCACATAATCTTGCTTTTGTTGTCTTTGTTGCTGAATTTTAAATGAATGAATGAACTAATCCAGTGCTTCTCAGACGTTAATGTGCATTTGGATCACCGGGAGATCTTGTAAAATTCAGATTCTGATTTAGTCTGAGGTGGGGTCTGGGATTCTGCCATTCTGACAAACTCCCAGGTGATGCTGGTGCTGCTGGTACATGGAACTAATCCAGAGTGTCTTTGCTCAAGTAAATAGCAGAAGATAAATGTCAATAGGAATGTGGAAGTGGAGCAGTTATGGGGACAGTGACTTGGAAAAATCCTCAATATGAACACTGGAGCCCTAAAAATGATAGCAGAAACTCATGTGGGAAGAGATGCTTAAATCATGGAATAAAACAGGAGACCATTGTGGGGGATAGTAGTTGATAAGACTGGGATGACATAGTTCTGTTACTTTTGTTTTAGAAAAGGAAAGGCTATTTGGTGATGGCAGCTGCTATGAGTTGTGACTGCAGTGAAGGATGTTCTCCATGGAATGGGCTGAGGGGAAGAGGAGTGGTGATGTCAGAAGTTGGGTTTGAAGGCTTACAAGAAGGGATAGGGGCCTCCAGTGTTTATTCCCAGTAGGATGGCATTTTCACCAATGCAGACAGGTGGGTGAGGGAATAGGAAAGCTGCATTCTAGGGGAAGGGAACCCTCTGAAGAAAGGGGAGGTACTAGAATTTGACAAGGGGTATTTCCTGATCTTAAGTTTCCAGGCTCAAAGCACAAAAATTTTCTTTTTCTTTTTTTAAACTCATAGATGACAGAAAAAGTAGCACTAGTAAGCATTCTGTTTCCACATGCAGTCTTCCGGATCTGATAATACTAGAGATGGGTTCAGTAAACCTAATTTATTTAAGTATTATTTTACAGAAGTAATATATGCTTTGGAAAAAGGCAAAAATATTTAAGAAATATTTAAATCTCCTCTCACTAACCCTCTTCCCCAACAATCAAGTAATCAATATTTACAGCCTGATGTGTTCTCGTCCAGCTTTTATCCATGAAAATTTATGTACACATAGAAAGGAATTTTTCAAATTGCATAATGGTATTTTCACATGCACATTATTCTGCAGATTGTTTTTCCCACTTAGGAGTATGTCATAAACATCTCTCCAGATCAATGGACGTAGCTCTAACTTATTTTTTTCTTAGTCATTTTTAAATAGCTGTGTATAAATACACATGTACCATAATTTGTTCTGCCATTCTCCTGTTGTTGGACAATTGGGTAATTTCCAGTTTTTGCTACTACAAACAATATGAGACACAAAAAAAGTCCTGTTGTTATCAGTGCCTCAGTAACAGAACCCTGTGATTTCAACCAGCCATACATATCACAAGTAACTTAGATCAAGGACATCTTTTAATGACGCATAGCAGTGGCTAGGCCTGTGTTATCCAATATAGTAGCCACTAGATGCATGTAACTATTTAAAGTTAAATGTGCTAAAATTAGGGGCTGGCCCCATGGCCAAGTGGTTAAGTTCGCATGCTCTGCTTCAGCGGCCCAGGGTTTCGCTGGTTTGGATCCTGGGCGCGGACATGGCACCACTCGTCAGGCCACACTGAGGTGGCGTCCCACATGCCACAACTAGAAGGACCCGCAATTAAAATATACAACTATGTAGTGGGGGGACTTGGGGAGAAAAAGCAGAAAAAAAATAAAATAAAAATAAATGTGCTAAAATGAAAGCAAATTAAAAATTCACTTCCTCAGTCACATCAGCCTCATTTCAAAGTGCTCAGCAGCCACACGTGAGTAGTGGCTACCCTATTGGACAGTACAGACAGACCGTTTCCATCCTCACAGAAAATTCCATTGGACAGTCTGGACTAGACACTCAAATGTTACATCCTAAATAAGAACATATTTTTCAGTGTGCTAGTGTTTTAATGAGAGCACGTTTTAAAAAGTACAAACTTTGTGTCTTCATCGGTTGCCTCTGCAGTTACTTCAATGAGAACCAATACCCAGATGAAGCAAAGAGAGAAGAAATTGCAAATGCTTGCAATGCAGTTATACAGAAGCCAGGTAAGGCAGCAAGCACCGCTTTGCTCTGTGGTGGAGCTCTTGGCTTCACATTATCATTTAGGACTTTAAATCTCTTCCGACTCATCCCTCTAGGATGCTCTCAGCTCCATCTGCACCATCCTCCTGTGGACAGTCACCGCCCTGACCTGTTCAAACACTACTACTTAGGGATGTGATTCTGGTACTCCAAATCAAATCTTCACATGGGAAAGTTTCCAAGGAGTGTTCCTGCTTGGGATAGGAGACCTTGAAATTGTTCTTTTAAATATTATAGAGATTTCTTTTTCCAAAAATATAGCATAAATATATCAATTCCAAAATAATTTTAAAGTTTGGAATATTTAAGCAAGGCTTGTTAATGAAAATATTGTTAGGTTTTTTATATGTATATATAATTGTTGTAAATTGTGTAATTCTGTATTCCTGTTTGAAGAAAGAATTCTTTTTGGAGTTGGCTTCTATCTCCTTCCCACATTGGGATGACTTCTGTTTAGCTAGGAAAATTTTAGGGTAATCTCTTTCTGAAGTCTTGTTGTTCCTATGCAAGTCAACAGAGCCACTTAAACACTTTAAACATGTGTCTTTTCTTCTATGTGCTAAAATATTATTCCACGTTTTATAGTTTTTGTTACCAAAAACCATTCTCAGTTAAGATGATGCTGTTGATCTTCATTTGGCTAGTTAATTTGAATGCCTTAAAGGCTATACACAAATCTATCAATGTTTTGAAATAGTTAAACTGTATTTATTCTCCCTTAGCCAGGGATTCTTAGAAGCCAGACTTCTAGCATTCTAGACTCTACCAACTCGGCTCCAATAATATCTATACCCTTATTTCACACAAGCCAAAGTCCCAGCTCTAAAGCTGTGCAGGAGCTCAAACTCGCCCCGGAAAACACTTTACCCCTCTATCATCAAGGCCTTAACCCGTTTTCTGGTTTCTCCATCCACTGTGGATTAAAAGCGAAACAGAAAAGAACCGGGGAGGAGGGAAAGGTACGGGTGGGTCCTTGTTGGTAAGCATAGTACTATTCATGAGAAGTCATATTTGACAGCAAAGAAGATAATAAATCTAAAATGCACCTGAATTGTGCTGTGTGTTCCAGCATAATTACAATAATGGCTGGTCAGAGTGACCTTCAGTCTTCAAGAAAACATGGACAATATCCTCTGTCTTAAGACAGCAGGAATCTAGTTAATGTAAGATGTTAAAGATGTAAGTAAACTTCAGCTGTTTGGAAACGTGATGAAGAATAACATTCATCTAGAATGAAGCTAATTAAATGAAGCCTTCATGTACTGTCATGTGAACTTTGAACCCTAGCAGACTGACTTTGTGGAATTCTTTAATAATGTATTTAATATTATGTGGCATTCTGAATTGAAGCCTTTTATGTAAATAGTTGCTATTTGTGTATTTATTTATGTGTTTGTTCAATATTAATTTGCGTACATAGTACTAGGTAATGCTAAAAAACAAAACAAAACAATTCTCCCTGTATCTGCTATTCTGACAGTAAATGCAATCAAAAGAACTTTTAAAAAACAAAAGTATTTCCCTTTTGGTCTCAGATATAGATCTCTAAATTTTATCGCATGCTTTCACAGGCAAAAAACTGTCAGATCTGGAACGTGTTACGTCTCTGAAAGTATATAATTGGTTTGCTAACAGACGGAAGGAGATCAAGCGGAGAGCCAATATCGGTAATGTATCAGAGAGGCTGCTTTCTTTTTTGAAGTAGTTACGGATATTATGTTTATTTTAGGAGTGACTTCAGTTTAGAACTGCAGGTCTAAATGATCCTAACTTTTAAGCCTAACAAGAATTGCCCTTATGTTTTTCTTCATTGTATTTTTAATAACTCATAGTTAGTGTTATTTACACTAATTGTATTATAATAATAATAGTATTGTTATTTCTGAAACTCAGTGTTCTTAACGCTGTAGAATCTAGAACTCGACCTGGCCCCCGAGCAATGGCTCCTGTGGTGCACATTAAAGATACTTGTAGGGTCTTGGAAAAGGGAGTGTGATACCCCAAGCTTATGGTATCACTGGGCTATGACTTAGATATTAAGAAACATCTGATTAATGGAATGGGATTGAAAGAGTCTTAATAGACAGAAAACAGAGCAAAAAGAGACTTAAAAAAAAGCATTTAAGAAATGTGAACTGAGGTGGGTTTTGAGCTTCTAAAATTGTATTTCATGTATAAACTTACTCCCTCTTCATCAGTACAATTCTCAAATGCTTTATAGAACCCCAAGACAGGAGGGCTGTTTAACTAGTTGGTAAGTATTTACGAAGCACCTAGCAGTCGACTTCTCAAACATAGCTTGCCTACAGCAGGGGCTTCAGAATGGTGCAGCTGAATTCCATCCATCTGCATTTTAAAAGAAACAAAACGTAAAGCCATCTAGGTTCTTATTTAATTACATTTGAATTTCCTCAACACAAAAATTAATTCAGTATTTAGGCCATTATGATAATGTAACAGATAATTTAGGGATCTATTTGCTTTTTTCGAAGAAGCAGCAATCCTGGAGAGTCATGGGATAGATGTACAGAGTCCAGGAGGCCATTCCAACAGTGATGACGTCGACGGAAATGACTACTCAGAGCAGGTGAGCAGCTGAGCAGAGGTTCTTGGTTACAGAGCAGGTGGGATAGTATGACAACTCACTTCTGTGGTGTGTTTTGTCTGGGTGGGGGATGGGAGGCGATCTAATGTCCCTCCGCTCTGCTCGTGTGTTTAGTTAGATTTTCCTGTAATTTGAAAGGAATGTGGTAAGATTCAGTTGTCCTGCTGAATTTGTGAGAAATCGTTATTCACCCACATGGATTTATTGTCATACAACAGGATACTTGGCAAGTACGCAATGGGGAGGAGGAGGAGGGAAGAAGTTCAGAGGGAGGCAGAGAAGCAGAGAAGGTAGAAGAAGAGAGGAGGATCTGATCCAAACAAGCAAGTTACACCATTCACCACACACACACTCAATGTTTGAGAAATACTAGGGGCTACTGGGTAGCTGTGATCCATGCCTAAACATGTACCGATGCAGCAAACAGTGGAAGGTCCCACCCACTATGGCCCCATTGCAGTGGGAACCCTTGTGCCAAGATGGTTCTTCCAGAGTCTCTGGCACATTGACACACACATCCTCTCATAAATGCATGCCTTCTCACCTCACCCTGACTTACTCTTCATTGCTTGGGGGAAAAAATATATTTAATTGTAGCCACTGGATGGAATAATTCAGTAACTAAGAATGTGGGAACTTTCCCCCCCACCTATCCGTTGACAGATTTCATTAAAATTTTTAAGGGGTTTAAAATTCATTTCCATTTGGAATATGAAGAGAATATATGGTCTCTTCTCCTAGACCCCAGCAGGAAACCTTTGCTCGACAGAATGTTCTGTAAGTCTTTCTAATTGGAAACATTCCTGTTATTTTTCAATCCAGCAATGTAGATGGATCATTTCCATCTTTTTTTCCAGATGCCCTAAGGGCAGCACGTCCCATGCTTTTTTTCCGAAGGGACTTACCCTTTCCAAAGCTTTTTGATGCAGAGTTCCCTTGAAGATGCGACAGGTGAGAAACTTACCCCTTATTTGTAACACCATCTTCACTGCCTGACAACATCCGGCAATGCCAGTTTCCTTCACAGCTTTATTGTTTTAACACTTCGAGCTGTGTGTGGAAGGAGAGCTTCACACTCCCTCTAAATAAGACACCTGCCCCTTCCTCGCCCAGCTGACTTACAGCAGGAGAGGGCCACACGTGTTCTCCCATAGCCATTTCCGGCAGTTACACTTGTGTCCTGTTGAATTGAGAGTTTTGGGGTTTTTTTTTAGAAAAATGCATTTTTATCTGTAAGATGTTGGTATCTGTAGTTTTGTCTAGTTTTCTCTGTTCAGAAGAGAGATACCATGAATTCTGAAAATCCCTTTGTAAGAGTATCAATCCAGAATTTATGTCCTTCAATGACTAGTGCTATATTTGTTGCAAACCTGGAATGATCCAGGTTTGATTATCATCACCAGCATTCTTTCTGATAGAAGGAATAAAATTCTCAGCAAGAAAACATTTTTAGTGCTTTTTATTTGTTGAATCATAAAAATGTCAACTGGAAGTCTCTGGACCTATATCCATTCAGTGTCTACTTAAATACATTTCACCTCTACTCTGTCATACGCCCCTCCCCCACTCTTTCCTCCCATGGATGTTCTGCCTTCCCTTGCCCCAGCATGCCTTTCTGTGAGCACGAGAATTTTACCAATCCACTAATAACATTTGTTTCTTATTTCTGCACATCTAGGATGACAGCACTAGCCATAGTGACCACCAAGACCCCATCTCATTAGCTGTGGAAATGGCAGCAGTCAACCACACTATCTTGGCATTGGCCCGACAAGGAGCCAACGAAATCAAGACAGAGGCCCTGGATGACGACTGATCAGGGAGGGTTGAACACAAGAAGTTAACTTAGTTTAGACGTAGCACCTTAGCAGACTTTCCTCGGTCCTTAACATGTGTTCTTACAGTATAACTTGCAGTTTCTTGTATGTCAGTTAGCCGTTAGGGTCTTGTTCTGTGAAGATGGCATGGTGCCCTCAGCCTTTGCATATACTCTCTCAGTATTAATTCCCAGTAAATAATAACCAACCAACCAACCAAACTTCCCTCTCCCAGCCCCTGAGGCTAGAAAATCTTGCTGCTCTGTCTTAGCATTCCAAGAAAGTGCTTCCAGGTATTTAGATAGCCCTTGGTTCTCAAATACTAGGCTACGTGTAAAACCTTGGGTACCTTTAGATTCCTGTAACACTAGTCTGTACTCCTTTTCCTTCCCCAAGACTGACAGGATGCAAGCTGAGGTAGTGTGGCCCAGGATTGACAGACACCATGTGGGGAGTATCCGCAGAGTAAAAGGAACACTAGAATCCCCACCTCAGAGTGGGAATAATTGATTTCCAGCTGCAATAAGCCGTGCCTCACAATAGTCACACTGTGGCTAGATTATACTTCTTTGGGTGCTGTGCTAAGAATGTCAGTGGGTAAACTCGATCTCAGATTTTGGTTGATGTTAACATGCCTGACACAGACATCCTTTCCTCTCACAAGCTGTGTGTCTTCGTAGATAAAATACTGCCTTCTGCCTTTGGGACCATGAGTAAAACAGACAAAAAAAAAGACAAAAACGAAAGTCATTAAAGAAAAAAAACAACCCAGCTTGAGAGCATTGGAAAAAAACATGAGCTGAATGTCTAATGGATGTTAAGTCCAGTTCTCAGAACCACTATATGTTACGTGGCACAGTACGTGCCTGCCTGGAAAAGTGCTGGAGGTCATCACGGAAGCTGCTTTGCCTCCTGTCTGTGTCCCCTTTCCCTGCTACCAAAAAAGTCTTTCAAGGATGGAGCTAAGGTCAAAAATGAGTGACTGAACTTCCAATCTTTGTATCCATTAACTGAAACCCCCTCAATATGAGAGGTTGATAGAGGATGTTACAGTGGGATTATGCTGACTGACTATCACAAATGCAAATACTTTCCTAAACAGGAGCAGAAATAAGCAGGGGACATCTGCCATTTATGTGGTGGGTCCGCGAGATACAACGGGATGTGACTGCTTTGGTGTTCTCTTTACTCTGTCCTTGTAGAGGTGTGAAAAGCTGTATTGCTACAGGCAATTTATTTAATAATTGGAAGCCATATTGATAATGGATGTGGTAATATTTGTAAAGTTTAATCTACTTTAAGCAGCAGTAACTAATGGAATTTTTTTCCTTGATCACATATGTAGCACTTTTGTTACTTTTTAAAGATATTTATATTTGATAAATCTTTTTTTCATTTTGAGAATTCAAAATACCAAACAGTGAACTTGCGTTATAAAGTCACCCTGTGATCACCTTGTCATCTAGTAGCAAAATGATGAACTATTCATGCATCAAAGGAAATTGCATCTGCTGGCCTTGTATGAAAATGATCTCTTGGCATCCCGATTAAATGACACACTGTCACTGTGGGTAAGAAGAAACAGCCTTCAATGTAGCAGCATAGGGTGCGTCTGAGAGAGGCACAACTGCTGTATATTTTCTGCCTCATTCCGTCTCTTCTTTCTACGTACAATGAAGCCTTGTTTAAAGGGGAATACGGGGCTGGCTGTTAAGCAGGGCTTCGGTCTTTTTGTCCATTACCTGAAAATGATTTCTAAGATAGAAGGAAGGTGCCATTTCCTTTTCGCCCTACCCCTCCTCCCCCAGCAAATGTATTCAACTTAAAACCACTGAGAGAGAGTGAGACTTACTGACCTTCTTTGTTTTTCCCTTTCTCATTAGCGAGATATTGAATATCCTCCAGTTTTTAGCTGGTCTAACTCCACTTAAGGCGCATGCTGACGAGATCATCTCCTTATCTGTTAATCCTGCTTACATCAGTGTGAGGAAGCCTTTGAGAAGGCATGACAATGCTACCTTATATGGGTCTGTGACTTTAAAGAGCGATAGGCAGGACCTGGGCCTGCTCTTGTCCATGGATTGCAGGGGGAAAATGTATATACTTTTTCCAGCTTCCAAGAGTTGAAGTAAAATGGAGTAGTCTTTTCTGTTTTACTCTATTACTTGAACCAACAAATTCAAGAGTAGCATTTGTTATTCTCAGGAATGATCCCCCCGGTCATTTTCTTCCTTGGTGTGTTTGGCTTTTTATTTCAATTAGGAAGATTGTGTTATTTTTCTTTCCTTTTATATTACTTAGGAGAAATATAACATATTGTATCTTTCCATTTTGATGGAATTTTTTCTGCTTATTCTCGGTTGAATCAGAAAGAAAAGGAGAGAGAAAAATACACTGTCTGACAAGCTGCATCCATGATTTATTGTAAGAAGATTATTATAATTGGTAGCTTCTTTATGATGCTATCATTACTAGTATCATTTGTTCTTGCTGGTCTTTTATTTTAAAGAAACAGACTCAAACTGTTAAGACAGCTGCAGTTTCTAAAGAAATACAGTAATTGCTAGAGAAGAGCTAAAAGGTTTCATTGTTTTAAGACCTTTAAGGAAGGAAAAAAGCTTCAGAAAATAAAGGAGAGTGAGTGTCCATGAAGGCAGTACCAGGCCCTATCTGGCAATCTGGAAAAAGTGAAAGAACGTATCTACCAATGTATGAGAACATTGTATTGAGTTCAGCAGGAACAGGAGGCAGGGATCTTTCACCCAGAATTCTTCCTGTAATTAAAGAAGACTGCTGGCCTACTCTTAAGACCCACTGCCTTACATAGAACTTCGCTTTTTCACCAAGAGTAAAATTTTAGTTCTTTGGAGCCTACATTTAAATTTACCATTGGTGTTTTGTTTGTCACCAGGTTCTATTTCGCTATCTTGCCCGGGCTACCTTAGTTCTTATAATGGCATATGGAGTTGCCACTGTCTAATTTGTAATATCTTCGCATATTAAATTTTTTTCTTAAACTTTTTCATGTTTGAACGATGGTGTTAAAATAGAAATCCTAAACTGCTCTCTTCCTGAAGGGAAAATAGCCAGGCTCATTTAAAAAATCCCATTTTGTGCTTTTTTGCTGTTCCGTCCCTCTTCTCTCACTTCATGCTGTACTTTGTTCAGGCCCCAGAGGACTATTTCAGGGGCTGCTCCTTCCTGGGTGAGGAAGACTAAAAGTGTGGGGTGGGGGAATCTTGCCAGCAGTTCATGTAACTTGTCTGTTATTTTTTTAAGACATTTTTGTTGAACTACTATGGTCGCATGGGTAAACTTCCTACCCTCCTTGAAATAGCCTTACAAAGGGACCTTTTAAAGATGGACCATCCTAATGAGATTTCCGTCAGTCTGTTGATAACCCTGATATCAGATGAAGGCCAGGCAGGGCAATACAGTACACTCTTTTCTGAGACCTTCCAGTGCCAGTCAGTACCAAATAGACATCTTGGTTTATTTCAGTAAAGCTTGTAATGTTGAAGTACCCCTTATGACAGTGTGCTTCACAGTCTTGGTCCTTTAAGTAGTTGGTAAGTGTGGTTACCTTCCACCTACCTATGGAGTCTGTACAGTTCCCACACCTTTGTCATTTGGTGGGACAGCCTCTCCCCAGACAGTGCCATGTTCCTTCACAGGAAGAAGATGCTGGAACAGGAAGACCCCTTTAAAGTACCTTTTACTCTAGCTCAGTAGAGGTGACCAGCTACAAAGACGTGTGTGCGGAAGCAGCAGCTCATCGGTATTGAAGTGTGCCAGTTCAGTCCTCCAGCTCCTGGTAGATTGATGGTGGCAGGCAGTCCAGTGATCAGCAGTATCTCTCTTGGGGCCAGATATCCAGATACATTTTTACCTCAAAGGGGACAACTCATGAAGAGCTCACTAATACAGTTGTTTCAGTTCTCCCTGTTTGGCCTCTGGCTTTACAAACTTCCCTCTTGGATTCCAGCCATCAGGCACCAAGTGTAAATAACTCATTTGATCAGGAATCTCCAGTCACATCCTCTCGTCTGTGAACAACTCCTCTTCCGTTTTCCCCTGGGCTCCAACACCAAGGCCTCATCTTGAGCTGACTTCTTTGCTGGAATGTTTTTATCTTTGACAGCAGGCACAGTAGGTGGGTGTGGTCCACCTCTTCACACAAACACTCCTTCCTGTCTTGCAGCCCATCTTTTTGGACCAGCTACATATTCCACTGACCAGCTACACATCTCTGCCCACAACAGTGGAAATAATCCCTGTTTCATAAATGATCCCTCATCCCTGTCCTAAAAATGTGAATTTCAAGTCCTTACTCTCTCTTTGGTCTTCAGAAGGGTTTGGTTAGAAGCAGTCTTCCCATGTAACTCATGGCTCTGCCTTTTAAAAATTCCTTTTGTCTTTTTTTCAGATAACAACCAGAGTATTTTTTCCTCAATGAGTCTCAAGAGATTCTTAGGCAATAATTTTTCTTGTTATTGATGACTTTGTGCTTGGTAGCACTCCACATTGAACAGTCCTGACCCTTGACATTGTGCGTTGATTTTGTGTGTTAATCTCTGTCTGTGATTTAAATCTTATGTCAGAGAGATGATAGATTTTGTCATTTTGTTGTTATGATTATTAGTAATGTTTTACTACTGTATTCATTGGGGCTGCATTTAGACCAGCCAAATCCATTTATAGCTTTACTGAGCCGGATTTGTTTTTCAAGATTTCCCAAGTGAAAGTTGGGCATGTTGACCAGCTCCTGCTGGTGGTATCTTTGGGGCATAGGTGTGGGGTGGGGGGATCAGTGGGGCAGGGGTAGGAATGACATAAGACATTCCTTTTTGTGCGCTCTCTAAATAGCAAGGATGTTTACTCAGGATTTGGGGATCAATTGTCAGCCATATTGAATTTGGCAAACTGAGCTGCATGCCCTGAAAACCCTCTTACTGTTTCTTAATTTCCATATTATCTAATTTATATTACCTAGTAATACCTAAATTATCCAGTTTAAAGGTATTGCACCATAATGAGAATGGAAGGTTTTCCCCGGGAGGCAACTATGAATGGCCAGGTTATCCAGTAGGAATTTCCCTAATGGTAGTGTGATACAAAGCAGAGGCCCTTTCTTTTTCTGTACTGCAGTCTCCTCCTTATGCTCTTCCTTTTAAAACATGACTGTCACTTAAGAGGAAAGATTTCCTTACCACTCTCAAGAGAACTACCATACTAAGGTGGTGGGAGAGGCTTTTTAAATACATCAAGCCTACAAGTCCATTTTCCGATTACAGAAACTTCTCTCACAAACAGGTTATGTTCAGAAAGGCTGTTCTTAATTCTCTTTATTTATAAGCTAAAAGTGATAAGCTACTGCTCTTGCCATCTTAGAGGGCTGATGCTTGACTCACTGATTTCTGAAGTGCAATTTTGTTCATATCTATGTACATTCAAAAGCTGGAAGTTTATAAATTGAGAAGTTTCCATATCAGCTTCATTATTCTTTCCTGGTGGTGATGAGAAACAGCAGCAAAAAGAAAGCTAACAATGTGAGAAATCCAGTTTCCTATAACACTGGTTTGCTTTTGTAATCAAGAGAGGAAGAAATATAGGAGAGAAGAGAGGGAAAATTTGGCTGCACCCAAGGACCTCGAGCATGTCCTTGGGACATCCTCGCCTTGAGATTACAAATGTGTGTATCCCTCATCTTCATTTTTAGCATTCATCATATGACACTTGGGCCAAGCAATGAGCAGAACTAAATCTAGCTGATTCCATTCAAGTGAAATGTAACTAGCTTTTTTACACTACTGACAGTTTACCACACACGTTTCACACCCCTTATCTCATTAGCTACCTCCCTAACAACAAACAGAAGGATACATCTGCAGGGGGCTTTGCCTTTCTCTCCTGACGTCCCTTTTATTTGTCAAGTTTTGGGGTTGATTTGCCCCAGTCTGGACAGCAGTATCTTGTCCTCTGGCAGGTGTCTGAGCTCCACAGTGCAGCCCATGTGGGGGCAGCAGTCAGGTATGTGCTGGCACTGTGGCTGCCACATGCTACGCTGAGGAGGGGTGTGTGCACACAGCTTGGCTGGCACTTCAGACATCTTGTGATGCCGGCTCCCTTGACTCCATTTTCATTTTCTCTCTCTTTTAAATAAAAGTGGCTCTACACAGCCATAATTAACTCTCAGATTCACATTGGTGTGCTGTGATCAAATGAAGATTTGCCTGAATCCTTTCAAACTGTAACCATGGTAATTGAGGGGGGTGGCATAGAATGAATATATAAAAATATAACGACAATTGTTCTGAATGACTGAATGTCCTCCTGACATGTAATTAACTGTTTTAGCAAGATGTAGATTGGCATGGTCATAATTAAAAGGATTTCTGTCCTTTATGTGATTGAAAATGGCAGATCTCCCATTCCCTGTTCCCTTTTAGCACTAATGCTCCCAAGAACATTTGGAACAGCAACTCAGTAAACTGAAATAATGACATGGTGTTCATGTCCCCTCCTAAGTGAAAGGGAAGGATTTGGAGTTATTTCAGCTTCAAAATGGAAGCCTTTGATTATTGCTCCCCATTTGACTTCTAAATTAGTTGAAACCTCTCTCATATCCAATTTCAACCTGCTCCAGCTTTGGCAGAAACTACAGTGAGAATCCCAAACTGAGTCAGCCACTGACAAGGCCTCCACATTCCCCTGTCCCACTTGCTAGCCAGCTGGAGTATTGTGTTGGCCTGACTTGAGGACGTTTACTGCTTAATGAGCTCCCTAGAATTTTAAGTTTTTCCTTGGTTACTTGATATTTTTATTACCATCACCATCAGAAAGTATTTATCAAACAGGAACTTACACATTAGTTAAGTAGAGTTTTCCTTATTGAAGCATATGATCTAGAACAGACAACATGACACTAACCCATAAATAAACATACATTTGGGCTTTAAACAGCCATGGGCATAAATGAAATACTGATATTTGCAATGTCCTAAAGTTACTGGAGCAAAAGGACACATGTGAGTTTCTCCCTGGTTTTCTCACATCACTTACATGGCAATTACCGACTTCCCCATGTCAGCAGCCTTTTGTTATCCTGAGTTCTCCCCATCGTTCTGCTGTGTCAGTGGGATTGCCTCCCTAGCCCTTCCAAATCCATGTTTTCTCCTTCTCATTTCTCTTCCTTTGTTTTCCATCCACTATGTCCCATTGAGCATCATATGGTCTTGACACCTCACGTGGTCCCCTGACGGTGCAGTCCACTGTTCTCCCCCAGAGGCCTTAAACTGGATGGGAGCTGCTGTGTCACTATCTAGTCTTTCTCTAGAATATGCTTCATTTTGTTTTTCTGATCACTTACATAAGTCTTTCTTCAGTTATGTGATCAGGAATGAGTCTGCATGAATACCAGCACCCAGCATAGTGCCGAGGGCCCTTCACAAGCTGCTTCATTCATGTAAGGCTCCTAACTGTGCTGGTGAGCCTTGCCTGGGAGCCCTTTCTTTCTTCAGGCCTGGACACTCAGGATTGGTTAGTAGCCACTAAAGAAAACACAGCTCTTGCTTATGCTCCTGTTTTGCTGCTTACTCTCATACAAATCTTTTTCCCTCTTCACATATCAGAAGGAATCCTAACCCAAATGCTAGTTAAACTTCAGTTCCATGAAAATGCTGCAGTAGCCTGCTGCTTTGTAACTGTTCTCTCTACCCCAAAACATACACATAGAGAATTTGGGGAAAGGTTCTACCTTAGGGTTCTTTTATTTTTGTTCCTTTCAAAATACCTACAATCAAATGTACAGTAGTTGGGCTAGATCAGGGAAAATAATGCCATAAAAGGTTTTTACTCAGTGGTTCTCTTCTTGTAAGATCTGAAGGTAACTTTCAGCCCCCCACCCCTGCACTCCTGCTTGCAGGATACATGTGCAGTCATTGCGACTTTCCTGTGGAATCCTATCCATGTTCTGACAGTTGGAATGATTGTGGATTTTTATGCCCCCCCCAAAGGAGAGTATCCTGTCCCTTTTCTTCCCAGCTGCTGAAAGATAACTATCTCCATGAGAATTGAGAAGTTGTCTTAAGATTAGTGATTCTGAGAACTTGACTGGATGAGAATAATTCTCTGATTTGTGAGATATGCATTAAAACAGCCAGCAGAACATTCTGATTATCTCCTTACATTCAGAGAAAATAGAATTATCATTGCAGTTAAAACCCTCTAACACAGTCTTCTATTTTAGGGATCAAAGTATTAGATGTGCTGCTTAAGGGATGGTGCTACTTAAAAAGAACTGGAGTTAGCAAGACTTTTCCCTTCCCAGATGTTTCCAGAGGCCAGTTTGGTGATTTAAAAAGCCCTATGTCATATATTCCTTTATCACCAGCATCCCCTGCTAAAAAGAAACAGAAAAGAAAGCTCACCAAAATGGGTGAAAATATAGGCAGTGCTTACCCATGAAATATGTGTTTTTTGGAAGAAAACACCAGAAATAAGTTATTCTTACAAGAAACTAGAGTAAAGATTTCATTCTAAATAATCATACTACTACAAGAGATCGACATTCAGACCTCTGGAGCATTCGAACTTCATGATAATAGCAGCTGACATTTATTGAGTGTGTACTGTGTGCCAGGCACTGTGCTGAGTATTTTTACTGTCTCGTTTATTCTTGAAGATTCACAGGCCCTACTCTGAGCAGAACTACCTTAATGGAGTCAAGTAAAATCTCCAGTCACTTCTTTCATCTTAGTCGGATGTTAATTGGAGAATGGGCCACAGAGTCTGCCCGGCACTGCTGAGGGAAATCACTGCCTGTTAACCTGTTCTGTTTTCTCATGGGATAGTGCTGGGTAATCCCCACTGGCACACTTGCATTGCCCTTATCTTTCTCTGCACTTAATTCCCTCTGACACTGGGCCAGTGTTACCATGATGAGCTAGACACTGCAACATCCCTTCCCCTTGGCTTTCCTCCTTGGTTAGTGATGGTGAGAGAAACGCTCTGAGGCTCAGCAGCCGTGATGCTTGTTTCAAGCCCCCCATCTCTGGGAGGCAAATGTGAAGGTCTTGCCTTTCACTGGGAAGAATGTTATGGCTGTCTTGCCGTCTGAGTTCTGAAAGGAACTAGAATTTACTAGCACTCCTTGGGTTTAGTTCCAGTTAGTTGAAGTGGAGCATATTAAAATCTCTCATGCTTCCTGTTTTCTCTCTGTCCAGCTCTTCTAGTATATTCTTAGTGCCTGTTACTTGTATGCATCCAGCTTGTGTTTAGAAGTGTTTTGCTAAGCCATTCCACCTCATTCTGCAGTTCCTTCCACCACGGTCATGAGAGGCAGTGGTGTCAGGCCAGAACTTGTGGAGAGTGGAGGCTCTGGAATTCTGCTACTGTGTGAGTGTCTGCCCTGGGCTCTCTGTGGCTCCTCATGAGCCTTAAGTGGCCAGCAAGCAGCAGTGGCATGGAGACAGATCCAGATTTTGGCTCAGCATAAGAGCTTTCTAATACCCACAATCCAGCAAAGGGGCCAGCTGCCTCAGAGTTCAAGTGGCAGCTCAGTGACTGTTGTCAGGGAAATGCACTCCAAGATGACCTGAGGACTCAACTAACTAAAATTCTGTTCCTCCCTCCCTCCCTCCCTCTCTAGCTCTTTTCTTCTCAAAAGTAAGTGGTTCTCCAAGGGCCAGCTCTGTCACTGTCTCTTCTGATCTGCTCTGTCATGTTCTAGGCGTCCCTGAGGCCGAGAGTGGAAGCCACCCCAGGAGCAAGGCTCCAGGTGGCATGGCCCCGCGAGAAGGTCCACCAGGTTGACTACTTGGGATTGAGAGCCCCTGAAATAGGCACCTTGTTTCATTAGTTGGGTAATGGGGTTTTTGATTATCCATTCCCCACCCGAAACCCCACCCTTATTGTGAAGGGAAGAAGGTATGTGTGCCTTCATTTGGGTATTGACCCAGATTTCACATCTCTAGTGGCGATTGAGTGCCACTGAAATTTCAGAATGGAGACATTAACTCCTCCCTAGGAAGGAGCACGTGACCATCTCTCCTTACCAGTACGCATGGCCAAGATGAGTCACAGAACTTGTGTTGCCTCTATAACTTTTTCACCTGCCCATCACTTTCAATCAAATCTTAATCTCAGTGTTGTTTTCTGGCTTTCTTTGAGCACAGAAACCTCTCCCTTTTTCTGTTTTACTGGAACGAAGAGCCCAGCATAAACTTGTGAGGGTCATTTTTCCACTTCATCATTCATTGAAGGTATTAAATGGGAAACAGGACGACATTAGTGCTGTATTAATGTAAACAGCAGCCACTGTAGCGATATTACGTTGAACTCTTAATTCTATGCCAGATTCATGGTGGGGGGCGGGGCAGTACATAATTAGTAGGGTGGGTTGAATGAAGGTGAGAGAGCTCAGCTGTGGGCTCCTTTCAAGAGCATTATTGTTAGTTATTATTTGCCTTGAAAACCACATTTCAATATGTTAGAAGCAGTGAACCCCTTAATCATGCATCTCTGAAAATGGGCACCATGAAACCTAAACCAAAGTTACTGGGGGCAGGGCAGAGGGAGAGCTGCTCTTTTCAAGCATTGGCAGCTCTGGCGAGGCTTCTCTTTATTGCTCACTGCTTCTGCCACAACACTCCTCTCAGCAGGGCCTCTTCTTTTCCTAGTAGCTTTTCCTCACACTGATAGTAGAAAGCAAGTCCGCACAGCCTGCCCCTCCCTCTAGTCCTGTCGCTGTGAGTCTAGAGCAGGCCGTCCCGACTTTCCCCACACCTGCTCTCGGCCCCATCCATTCCTGGTCTGCAGAACCCGGAAAGAGAAAGGCCTCTGCTGGGCCCAGCCCGTTTCTTGAGATTCACCCAGGCTGCAAGGTGGGACGCTGTCCCTGCCAGAAGATGCCAAGAACATCATAGTTGCCTCCCCTGGAAGAGCCCACAGCCTTCTCTGATTCCCCATGGGCTCCCCCCTTCCATGGTCATGGTCACGTTGCGTATGCAGTACCTTCCAAGCATAAATTTCCATTTATGTTTTTTAAGTGCCTAAGCAAGTTACAGACCTCTGGAACCTGCCAGGGAGTCAGCCTGTGCCCCGCCCCCTTCCTCTCCCCACTCTGCACTTAGCCCTCAGGGGCAGGCGTGGGTGGCTGCCCCTCTCCAGGGTCCCCGAGTTCTGCAGGCAGAACAGCTGCAAGGACAAGCACATGGGGCAAGATGGTCATTGCCCTGGCAGGCTGGCTTGGTCACTCCCCTGTGCTGCTTTTCTTGGGGTCTTTCTGGTGATGGGGTTATGGTCTTGGTTCACAGAGAATGTTATGGAGCCTGCTTAGCGAAGTCTAGCTACTGAGTGAAGAAGACAGGAGAGCAAGACAGCCTCAGAGCAGAATCCCATCTGTCTTTGTCAGCAGCTGGAAAGTACATGCAGGTCCAAGAGGGCCGAGTCGGATAATCATAGTTAAGAACTGACCATCCATTTGCCGTCATTAGTCACTGGAACCCCGGCTGCCTCCTCTTCCTCTCTTCCTAGAGTTGTGGGATCAGGGTGTCTGCTCACAAGGACTCAGAAAGGCCATCATCCATAGGGAGTGAAGCAAGATCGAACGTGCGTCTTTGAAAATGAGTGTGAGATTATTTGTTTGCTTCTTTTTTAAAGTAATTTAAGTCTGACCTGAATTTGGGGCCTTCCTTACGTGGTGGGTGTACAGTGGATTATTCTGTGACCGCACTCTGTTTGTGTCACAGCACTAAGCAGTGCTCAGATGATTTGCTGGTGCATTAGAAGGTTTTGCAAAATGGAACAATCCATACCCAGGCACTTTATTTTCATTAATAATCCAGCATTTTTGTTCAGACAATGTAATAACCCAAGCTGGGCATTCACATTTAACACGTATGGGCAAATTTGCCAGAAGAAGTCTTCTGACTTGGATAGAGAAGGGAGGCGGGTTGATGAAAGTGATGAGGGGAGAACACTGCCATGGTGATGATCAAAGTCAGGCTTTTCTGGAGCGTCTTACGCCAGCCTGGACTCGGGCAGCGCACTGTCACTCCAATCTCCAGATGCTCTTTCCTACAGGTTCTACCAAGAGCTTGTCAGTTACCCCGGGTGTAACTGAAGAGATGAATGTAAGCGAGAGTGCAGCGGACTAGGGAGCAGCCGTGCAGTACAGTTAGAGACAGGAAGAGGCCCAGCTTTTCTCTTCACTGGACTTGAACCTCCAGCAGGCGCAGCGTGCTGGGCAATAATCCCACCACGGAACCATGTGCAGCTTCGTCTCACTGTTCACCATAGGGGTGGGAACTCGCTGGCACAGCAAGTTATAAATTGGAAAGCGAGTTCAACAGTCGTAATCTGATAGATACCAGGGACCAGATGCCTTGGGACTGCCTAAAAGTCTTTAGCATCCACCAAATACTCAAGTATCTGCGACAGGCTGTGTGGGATCCCTCCCACGTGGGTTTGGGGCAGAGCGCCCTCCCTGCCTTGGCCGTCGTGTGTCTTAGTCTTTGTGTTTCCCTTTGGCGTCTCCTGGCCCCTGTCCCCCATCTTGTGCACCATGTGTCCCTGAGGGGAGTCGCACCTGTGTCTGAGTCTGCTGTAAGGTGTTCAGTCTACCTCAAGGGGTCATCATGGTCACCTCCGTCCCATAGCAGTCCTTCTGACATCGCCACACACACTGGAATGTATATCTGCCCTGGCCCTGCCTTTCCCGTCAGTAAACTCCTGACCCCCTTTCCTGTGATCACCACAAACTCCTAGTGCAAATTGGATGCTGCTTTAAATGTGAAAACAATTGTTCAAAAGCTATAAAACCTGAATGAAAGCTAAAGCTGAATTTATAAGCCTTGTTGCATATGAGCCAAAAGTGCAAAAAGCTCTATATAATGAACTAACCTGCCACTCGTATAAATATAAATATATATAAATATATTAAAATCAGACTGTTCTACAAAATTGTGTATTTGTATTTTTGTGTACGTACAATTTTCTGCTAAGCAGAAGGAGGATGTAGTATAGGATGCTGTGAGAAGAGATTTGGTTTAATCCTATTTCTTTGTTACTTATTTTTGTTAACATCAGATGCCTGTCTTCGTCTTCTATGTGTATGACACTGTTTGCAAAGCTGCAGTATCTCTCTTCCTTAGGTCGAGTCCATTAGAGAACGAAATCTGGGGTTTAGAGAGTTGTCTGGGCCGCCAAACATGGATACGCGGACAAAGCTCCGCCCTGTACTGCCCAGGAGCCACTCATGGTCCTGAGGCGGGACTGAGGGAGGACATGGCCTCTGGGAAGTAAAATCCCACTTCTAGAAATCAGCTTCCAAAACAAAAGATTGTCAGATCTCTCTAACACAGACTCTCCACCGGGAGAGGACGCAGCACCTCTCTGAAGTGAGGAACAGGACCTCTCATCTCTGGGCCAGCAGTTTGCCCAGAAAGCAGCAGGGGGCCCTGCCTGGCTGTATGGAGCGCCCCCGCTCGCTCCTTGGCTGTCCCTGGGCTCCATGTCCCTCTTCCGAGTAGTTGCTGCCTTTGTCTGATCAGGTTACCAAAATGCCTCCCCTCTGCTGAGCTGCTGGTGTCGGATCACCCAGGGCTGGACACCCAGGCCTCCAGCCCGAGGTCCCTGAAGCATCTCAGAACCCACTTTCCCGGTGCTAACACACAAGAGGGGGGTAAAGTGGCTGCCAGTAATGGCCAGAAACCAACCATCTGAGAGGCCAGGCTGGAAGACTGCTCCACGTGCCCATGGCAGGGCCCTTCCACCGGCAGCCCGGCCTCGCCCCGAAGCCCACCCACCTCTCAGCCCCAAGGCAGCCCCTCTTGACGTGAACCTTCTCTAGGGAGAGCGATACTGCACCTTCACCTGTGGGACTCATCTTTATAACAATGTGTAATGACTGTAGCAAAAAGCCCTTGTTTCTAGATGTAAATGGTCAAAGAAACAAGTGCTCTATCGTATTGATTAAAATAGTTCAAATGGGTCCTGTATCATTGTATCTCCTATTCTGGATTAGTGCCTTTTGGACAGTAGACTGTTCTGTAATTAAAATGTAGTATACTGCTTTTTTGTACAGTTTTGTTTTAATAAAACTTTTTTTTAATTTGTGTTTATTTTAGTATTGTACCTATTAGAGAATAAAATGTATAACTGAACAAAGACTGGCCGGATTTCTTTGGGTAAGAACAATCGTTTGGGAAGTGCCCTGACACTCACAAAGAGGGGGCGTGTTCTGTTTTGAACATCAGTCCCTTTGTCCTTTAAAAAGGACTAGTGTGCCCGGAGACTGAGGACCCTTGAAGAGGGTCAACGTGACAGTGAACCCGTGCATGGCGGAGAGGGGTGCCAGGCTCAGGAGAGCCCCAGAATGCATCCACTCTGATTCCCACCTGCGCTCTGTCTCGGGGCTGCCCCCGATTCTCAGACCCCAGAGAGCTTCTCCACCCAGTGGTCCCCTTAACTGCAGGCACCAGCTTTCCTTCTCACCTCCCACCATCTTGCCACATCCTGGCAGCTTCTCTACCACTAGGACCACTGTGGAAACTCCACGCACCTTCACTCTCCCACTCCAGGCCACATCTACCTCATTTTCTTAAAAAAGCCATGTTTCTTGGGGCTTCACCTTTAGCAGTGAAAAACAAAATGAAAGAACACCGAAGCTTCATTATTTGTGTTTCTCTAAGTCATCTAATCCTTGGGATCAAATTCTTAAGCAGGACTCTAGGACAAGGTGCCTAACTCCCTTCTCAGAAGATTCAGGTCGATTGACTTTCCCGTTCTCAGAGAAAACCTGAGAAGTAAATGGTCTGTTTTCCCCTCCTCATTGTACATAATTAGGGAAGACTATGCAAAATTTGAAGCTGCCCCTAAACCCTGTCTAAGTCGCCGAGTGGAGGTGGGCAGGAGATGGGGGGTGGGATACCAAGGACCGTGCCCATGCTCCTCTATTTGGGCCAAAATTGCTCTTTCTGGTTCCATCCTTCACGCCCCGCCTAGAAGTCTTCCGGGCCTGCCCAGCAACACTGCCCCCTCCGCCTTCATCTCCTCTGAGGCTCCCAAACACACTTGCCTGAAGCTCCTCAACCCCTAAAGCCTCTGGGGCCCCTCCTGCGGGCACCCCGCGCTCCAGATCCGCCTGATTGTGTGGCTCGTCAGGACTGCTAGTCTGCAGTGTACGCCACACCAGGCCCAGCCAGGACAGGTACACAAATGTGCACTGACTCAATGAGTGAGCGAACTAAATGTGATGGAGCCACTAGAGCCCATTTTGGGGTCTGAGCAACCGTAAAAACCCCACAGCCTCACGCAGACAAAGATCTCATTGAGTTGCAAGAGAGTAAGCAGCAGCTCGAGAAATGAGACGTGTCCTAGAGGCTGCTAGATCGATTCTACATTCAGACTCCCGCCTCAGAGCAGGGCAGCTCCTGGCTGCCAAATTTCTGTCATGATTTGGCAGTGCTTATCTCTGAGAACAACTCTTCGGCACTTATGAATATAAACAAGTCCTGCTAAGATGTGCTCTGACTGATGGCCACCTCCAATCAGCCCTCTGAGTGGCTGCGGCCCTGCATTGGTAAGTGCACCTTCCATTAGACGAAGCCTGAGTGATTCACTGACGCAGGGAAGAAAACAGCTTTACGCAGGGCCACCAGCGAGTCAGCGCCCTTGTGGACACAGCGCACTTGGCTGCCTGCCTCCCTCACTGGAGCTGGGCTGTCTGCTGTGACCGTGAGGAGGCCTGCTTATCTTCCCAGGTCAGGGGGCCTGGGCCCCCCATCCCCAGTGCTGTTGCGAACCTGTGCTGGACCACAGCTGGGCACCACATCTTGAGGATGTTGGCCTCATGGGCAAGCAGGGCCCAACAAATAACATCGAGCCCCACAGCCTGCAGGGATGTGACGGGCCCTGTCAGCATCCACAGCTATAGTCCTCCTCCTGTAAACACCTTGTTGCAGAACCTTCGAGGGTCAACCTATCTGTGCAGAAGTCCTCCACTCCCCAGTCGGGGGTTCCGGCGTGGGGCCAGTCATGCAGGTCAAGATCGACAGTGGAGCCATGGCCTTAGAGCTGGGACAGCCTTGCTCCAGAGAAGTCATCCACCCTTTCACCCCAGGCCAACTGTCTCCCTGTTAGCCTGGAAGCTCCAATGATCTTGGGTCTAGGGCGATCAGAAAATTTCTATTGTTTTTTGGCTCGTGTAAGAAGTCTCAACTAAGGAGTATAAGACTGGCCATAGGGACTAACAGGGCCTCCCCAGTTCTTTAGTACAAGTCACAAAGAGCGCAGGGCTGGGCAGGTATGCTCGGGGGACCTGCTGCTCCCCTGAACCTCCCTCTTAGTCTAGAAGCCTCTATCTTGAAAAGCCCACCTCACTCACTCAGAACCAGGCCACCCCTTGCCCTGTGGGACAATCTAGACTGAGGCCAAACACTTCTGCAGCAGAGTGGGGAGGGGAAAACAACAAGACTGACTTCAGACGTAGGCAAGAAATCATCTGGTTTTATTTAGAAGCTGCTGGTCATATGACGGAAAGGCATATATGGTACAAAATTACAGAGATTTAGTTCATTATACAATACAAATCATTAAGTCTTTACAATTCATTACAGAGTCTTTGGATTTTTTAAATCCCATTTCATGTGTAGCAAATCAATATACTCCCCCGATCAAAATCTCTTCTTCATATGTGAACCCATCATATTCACAGAACTCCGCACAGAGGGAAGACGTTCCAAGACTCCCCCAACACGATTAGTGTCAGCAGCCGGGCAGAAGGCACAACGGACTTCTCTGAAAGAAAGACGCATGTGGGGAGAATCGAGGCAGCGTCTTCGGCGTAAAACACAGGCTGCAGTCCTGGTCCCCAGAGGTAAGGCACGACAGACAGGTGGCTGCCCTGGGAGCTGACAGCCCTGAGAGACGTGGGCCCACAGGCGGCCAAGCGGGGCTAATCTTAGCCAGGAAAATAAATACCCATGAACTTCTAGTCATTTCACATACAGGGAACTTCAAGCCAAGAGGAGAAAATGAAAGGAAGCAACGGGACCTAAACGCCTGCGAAGCCTTTCAAACTCCTCAACAGCCCTTTCACAGCTCAAGTCTCTCACTAAACACACAAGGCCCTTCACGCTGGCCACGTTTTCTTGCCGGCCAGAGAGGTCCTGCTCCCTCTGGCCGGGCTGGGCATCTGGGACAGCCAGACCCCACTGCCCGTGAAGCCCCCTGGGGTTTGGGGCCAGCAGTGACTGTGCTTGGGCAGAGTGGGAGGCAGAGGCGCAGGAGGGTCCCTGCCTGGTGTCTGCCATAGGCCTGGGGGTGCTCATGTGGTGCCCAGAGCCAGACTGCACTGCGGAGGCACACTCCCCTGGCCCCAGCGTCCACGTGGCCCATCCCCTCCTGCTGCCAGACCAAATCCCAGAGCTGGGAACCTGCTACAAGTCCCAGCTTGATTCCTAATGCTGACACTTCATCTAAAATTAGGCCTGTTTATTAGTAGGGTGAGACGAAAAGACAGATGAGATGGAGCCCCTCCCTCGACCTCCTACCCTCACAGGATTCTCGAGCCCGCATCTTAGGCCCAACATATACCAGGTTGTGGGGAGTGCCTGGGCTCATGGCTTTAGTGACCTCGTCTACTACATGTCACTGCTTTTCCAGTCACAGGTTAACATTAGTCTGTGCGGAGAAGCCAAGGTAAAAACAGTGACACTGGGGGCCGGCCCGGTGGCACAGCGGTTAAGTGCGCACGTTCCGCTACTCGGTGGCCTGGGGTTCACCGGTTTGGATCCTGGGTGTGGACATGGCACCACTTGGCAAACGCCATGCTGTGGTAGGTGTCCCACATATAAAGTAGAGGAAGATGGGCATGGATGTTAGCTCAGGGCCAGTCTTCCTCAGCAAAAAGAGGAGGATTGGCAGCAGTTAGCTCAGTGCTAATGTTCCTCAAAAAAAAAAAACAGTGACACTGGAGCAGGGCAGGCTTCCTTCAAAGACACTAGAAAAAGCAGAGGTGGAGAGCAGTCAAGCGACACCATGAGCCTCCCGCGGCACCCTACTTGACCGTCATGACCCGTCACACGCTGGCCCTAAAGTGATGTGCAGGGTGTGGAGCAAGAAGACAGGAAGGGCAAGACTGCAACCCCTGTGCCCTTGCAAGGATCCAGCACGGCTCCCACCCCCTACTGTCCTTCCAGAACTGCCGCTCCTGCCCTCCTGGGTCCCAGGATGTCCGTGGGGCCAGAGCTGGGTCAGGAGGGCCGGGTCAAGTGCGCTGTGTTCTGATAGCGATGCTGAAGGACGAGGATGCCCAGGTGGCCAGGCGAGCCTCCCCCAGCCCAGGACAGGCCCACGTGTTGACCTCCCAGGCACAGCTCACCAAGAACACCAATGGGACAAACATATCTCGCACCACCAGGATGGCCCCAAATGCGGGCCCCAAACACACTTCACTGTAAGAAAACCCGGGCAAGCCGAGAGCTCCCGTCATGAAGGGCAGCGACAGCACTCTCCTCCCAGGAGACCCGGCTCCCTCCCCACACACCAAGCCGCCTGCCAAAGCTCAAAGCTCTGAGGCACCCTGAGGACACAGGACATGCTGCTTCTGGGGGGAGCTGCTGGGACCCAGGAGTGGCAGGGCTGGGGGGAATCTCAGGCAGAAACGAGGAAGATTTGAACAGCAGGCCCAGGGGAGACAGTGAAGCCGTGCTGGGCCGCCTGAGGGGGAGGATGAGAGAGAGGGGAAGAGAGGAAGGGGGTCCCGCCAGACCTCCTGGGGCAATGACCTCCTGGGACAACAGCTGAAGGATCACTCCCAGCTCATCAGGAGTTCCACTGCAGTCTATTCTATTCTAATTGAGCCAAACGACAGAAAGAGAGCAGGACACCCCTGTCCTGGTTGCTGACACCACCTTACAGGGCACATGGGCCCCAACAAGTGCTTCGGGACGTAAATGAAGATCAGGAACACCCACACCACCTTTCTCCAACGAGCCCCTGGCCAGGTCACCTGAGCTGCTCCCCTCGAAGAAGGGGTGGTGCTGGTACCTGAGGAGGGGACCAAACTGACGATGGGGGAGGAGAGAAAACCTTCTAAGGGAAAGCAGCCTTTCAGGAGAACGTCTGTGCTGGGGAGGAGGGTGAGAGCAGAAGCAGAGCAGACTGACAGCACTTAATTCAGGGACGCACGCCCGGCAGGTGCTCCCCAAAACGCCAGCCCAAGACAGGAAGGAACACAAAGCAGCGCCCGCCTGAGGGGGGCCCGCGCCCACGCCGCCCGCCCTGCGGGAAGGAGTTGGGCCTCCTGGCCGGCCCTCTCAGGGCCACCCACCAACAAGGCACCTCCCTCCTGGGCCAGGGCTGCCCGTGGGCGGGGACAGACACGAGGGCAGCGCCGTCTGCTCCCCTGCGGGGCCCTGTGCCGGTGGGCGCTGCAGAGGCGGCCTCGGGGCTGCTGTAAATGGGAGATGATCACGGAGCTTCCCTACGTTTCAGCTGTTCTCTGTGAGAAGACCCTTCCAGCTCCCAAACTGGGCCTCTCCGCTGAACTAAAGCCACATGTAAGAGGCTGTGCTCTGCATCTCCCAGCCCGTCCCCTCGCCCGCGGACACGGCAGACCCGCAGCTCCAGGGTGAGAGGGTGGCCAGGCCAGCCCGAGCTAAGTGGCAGCGACCCATTCCAGCCACAGTCTGTTGGCCCAGGCGGGGCAGCCCGTGGGAGGCGATGAACAGAAGCTAGGGTGGCACCGGCCCCCCAGCCCCCGGGTGGGAGCGAGCGCAGGCCGTGTGGCCCCGGGGACTCTGCCTCCCCGGCCGGCCGCAGGCCCCACGCAGCCCATGGGGGCAGGGAACCTGGCATCACCCCTCCTGAGGGGCTGCAAATCCCTAGAGAACCAGAGATTTCTCAAAATAACCGCTTTCTGGATGTCGTTTTTGAGTCTAAACATGAGGAGTAAAAAGAGGCAGCGAGAGTGCTGTGTGCAAATCCTAGCGCAGGGCTGGGGGGTCCTCCCGGCTCCGGGCTCTTGAGGTGACAGGCAGCAGGGGCGGCGCACTTGCAGCAGGAGGTCACCAGGCTGCTTACCGCCTGCGGAAAGACCACAGCCCTGGCCCCGGACGGAGTCCCACCCGCAGCCCTGCCTCTGCCCCCCAGCACCGCCCACAGCACCCGGCTGCCACCAGGCCCCAAATCCCCCGACGGAGCCCGGCAGGAGGGGCTCCGGGACCAGCCAGGCCCTGGCAGGAGGTGGCGATGCTCTGGGGTGTCTCAGGCTGGCCAGCCTGTGCTCTCTAGGCCGGCCTGGTCTGTGGCTCTCCAAGGGTCCAAGGGACAAACACGGGGGCGGCCACAGGGCCGGCGAGGGGCTCTTGCTCCAGGGCCCACCTGGCAAGCCGCAGGCCCCTGGGCATAGAACTACCAATAAGTTACACTGGTCTAAGGACCCCCAGAAACCAAAACTGCACCAGATAAGGTCGTGATGCCTCTGACTTTGCCATCAAGGCCAGAAGCACAAGGCAATTCTCCAAATTTTCACTGTCACCTTAGAATAAGGCCACTTGTGTATCTGCACCAAAGAAACCTAAGGGGGTGTCATCCTCTGGCCCCTCTAGGAAGCTCCGCCCGAGGCGGGAGGTGGGCAGCTCCCAAGTGGCTGCAGAGGTGCAACGTGCAAGGCAGGCCATGGGCACTCACACCCGGGCACACGATTGTGGCTCGCAAACAATTCCGAATTTTGAAAAAATAAATATAAATAAATATATTCCAAGCATTCTGGTAAGGGAATAAGTGGCAAAGAGGAAGAACTTTCCAGGTATAAAGATGCTGAAACACCCAGGGAGAAATGTCTGAGACACCCTGTGGAAAGGAAGAGGGAAAGGTGGGGAGTCAGCCCAGGGCCCCTCGGGCACACAGGCCATCGTGCCAGAAGCCTCAGGAGACTGGCCAGGCACGGATGCCGCAGGACTGTGGGGACTTGGGGCGAGGGGGGCGAGGGCCGAGAGGGGTGGTGGGAGCCTGAGGAGCAGCCAGGACTTGGGGCGCGGAGGAGAGTCTAGGCACCAGCCGGGGCGGAGAGAGGACAGCCTGCCCCTGAGGGAAGGGAAGGCACGAGTTAGGATTATTTTTTAAATTAAGAGGTTAATGGGGTCACCAGAGCAGAAGACAGAGCAACACCGCCAGGTGGGAACAGCCCAGGCCGCAGGGCACCCCGCTCCCCATGCCCAGGGCCACTCTGGGCTCCTGGAGCTCCACAGCCGCCACCTGCCGTGAAGCCGCCTGGTTGTCCGGGCAGAGGAAGAAACAGAGCTTCCAGAGGCCTCGGAGAAGCAGCGAGGCCCTCAGCCCTGCAGCGTCTAAGAAGCATTGTGGGCCCTGCTCCCCGGGGGAGGGGGTCTGAGGCGACACGGCCCACTCTGCTCCGACCCAGGGCTGTGGGCAGCAAGGCTCGGCAGCACCGCCACCGCGTCAGTGTCGCCGGCCCGGGAGGACGCCACCAGGGAGGGTGCGGTGGGCGCGGCTTAGCTGGCCCAGGACTTGCGGTTCTCGGGGTTCCTGTGGCTCCGGTCGGCCCGGAGTGTCGCGGGGCCCTCGGCCTTGGCCAAGGCTGCCGTCAGGGAGGCCAGGTTGCTGGCGGAGCCGGAGAGGGTGCTGCTCCTGCGGGGCTCGGGGGCGCCCTGCAGCCTGAGGCCCGCGCTGCGCCGGCGGCCCGCGCCCCCCGCCCTGCGCACGCGGCCCGGCCTCACCAGCAGCCCGTAGCCAGGGTTGCACCTGAAGTACTGCTTCCCTCCGATGGAGCCGTCGTTCTTACCTGGGGGAAAGGAAAAGCAGACGTAGAGGCGGCTCCCAGGCTGCTCCCGCCCCCACGGGCCCTCCCACAGGAGCCCCGTGTGCCACATGGCCCCGAACCGGGCTCACCACGGAACGCCGAGGCCAGCCCGGGCAACCGTACCCTGGGAAGCACGCAGTGGTCACCGGGGACAGACCCCCCACCCCGCCACCCCCGACTCCCCAGCGGCCTCAGGCGTGAGGTCGAAGACATGCTGGCCCTGCCATTTCTGACACCCAGGTGCAGAAAGCCACCAAAGCAGAGCTGGCACTGCCCCCACCCACCCTGGGGCACAGATCATTTTCAGTCTGGATGGTCAAAATGTAAATCTAGGATGGATGGCATTGGTAGAGTGATTATTTTTCCTAAATCTATTAGATGGAAACTAGCAAATTACCAAATTGTAGCTAGTCAGAGGTCATACAGTGTGTCAAGATGGAGTGAAGAAGTTTCCTTTGTAAAAGTGAATAGAAAATGCTTTAAGGTGAAGGATGAGGACACAATGCTCACATTGGGGGGAGACTGAACAAAGGGACCGCCCTGACCCCTAAATGTCACCATCCAGTGGTGATGGGCTGGTGGGGAACACGATCTTTGTTGCAAAAAGCATCATGAATTTTCTACACTCCCTGTCCGCACGTGCGCCTGCCCCTCTCTTCACCCCCTCCAAACACGCCTCGCCTCCACCAGCTCCTCTCGGGGTTAACCAGGGTTACCCGGGGCCACCTCTCAAAGCATTTAACAGCTGATCTCTCCCGCTCTCCAGCCACCGCTGTCCCTCGGCTCCTGGGACACCCACCTCCTTCCCAGTCTCACCCTCGGCCCTGCTCTCCCCTTGGGGGCTCACCCGCCCCAGCCTACACTCCGTGAGCCCTGACGCCTCTTCGCCATGAGCCTGGCCCTCTCCGCCATCTCACCTCCACCAGAGCATCCAGCCCACACCCCCACCCCACCTGTCCCACACCCAGCTCTGCGGTCTCCTGCCCGCCTGCCCGCGCCCTCACCTGCTCTCGAGGCTTGCCCACAGCACCGTCGTGACCCTGTCCTCAGGCCCCATTCAGGTATCTGCCTGACTCCTTTCCTCCCTCAATCCGGGGGCCTCACTGTCATATCTTTCCTGACGCTGGCCACCTCTTACCACCTCCACTGCCACCACTCACCCCCCTCCTGGGCATCCTCAGCAGCCTTCTAAGTGGCCTCCTGTCCCCACACTTCATCCCAAGTCTACTCTCCTAAAACAAAGTCATCTTTTTAAGCCCTCCAGTGGTTTCCTATCATCTTTACCCTTCGTGACCGGCCACCGCGCCTCTCCAGCCTCCTCGGCCAGCCTTCCTGCTCCCCCTGCATGTGGCACGTGTCCCTGTGCAGGCGGGACCTTTGGGGGCTTGGCCGGTGATGCTGCCCCCAGCCCAGCTTCTTCCTTCCGTCACTCGTGCCTTTGCTTCCCTCAATATTATCTAAAACGTTGCCCACATCCACCATCTTTTCCCCACTAATCCAATTTTCTTCATAGTGCTTATTACTATCAGATTTTATTTGTTTGTTGACTTGGTACCTGTCTCCCCTCTGAAATGAAAGTCCAGGGAACCCAGGGGCTGTTTTGCTCACCAAGTGTCCTCAGGACCCCAGATGCAGGGGGAACGCAGCAGGTCCTTGATAGCTATCTGCCGAGGAATTCATCTATTTGCTAATCCCCTTTAATTCTTGAGTTCAACTGCAAATATAAACTTCTTTCCCAATTCTCCTTCGCATCCAGCAGAAATGGAATTTAAAAAATATTCCAGCCTGTGCTACATTAATCTTCTAGAAGCACTTCCAATTTATGACATTCTTTGCCAAAATTATTTTTAAAGATAGCGAGTGACTTCACAGCTGAGCTGAGGGGCCCAGAGACAGTCACTGCGGGGAAGGCTCCGCGGTTCACAGAGCCCCCGCCGCCCCCCGACTTCACTCTGTCTCGACCAAGGAGAGCTCCCATGCCTCCACCCCTCCACCCCCAGCTAACCCAGCAGGCCACACACAAGCCCCCCACGATCCCGTCTCCACGGCTCCCACCCCGACCCTCACACACCGCTGGTGGGAAGGGAGGATGGAAACCAGTCTGGCCGTCCTCAGAATCTTAACACACAGTTCCCTCCCGGGTCTCCGCTCAAGGGGAGTGAAAACACGTGTCTACACAAAATCTTATACACGAACATCCCCAGCAGCATTATTCACAACAGACAAAAAGTGGAAACAACCCATGCATTCGTCAGCTGAGAAACAGACGGACACTACGCAGGGCAGCCATACAGAGGGGCCTTCTTCGGCTGCAAAAAGGAATGCAGGCTCGCAAAGGCTACGACTGGAGAAACCTAGGAAACGTCACACCAGGAGAACGAAGCCAGGCACAGGGGCCACGCACTGTGTGACGCCATTTATATGAGAGTCCAGATTAGGACATTTCCTAGAAACTGAGAGGGACGGCGCAGACTGACGGTTCCCAGGGCCTGGGGAGGGGCTGTGCCCCTGCTGGGGGACTCGGAGCTTCTCTTCTGCTCTGAAGCTACCTCTGGCGACGGCTGCACAGCTCTGTAAATACACTAAGAACCACTGCACTGTGCACTTCACACAGGCGGACTTTATGGCATGTAAATTGCATCACAATAAAGCTGTTCAAAAAAAACATCTGAAGGACACAGTATTTCCTTAAGACGTGCCCTCAGTTCTTCTGAAAATGATGATCTATTGCTTTTAAGACGCGCCATTCTAAGTGAGGCTTTACGGGCTGGCGAGCCTGCCACCACGATCCCACCTAGATCGCCCGTCTCCTGTTCTCGACCCGCGGGCCAAGGAGCCTCGGGATGTCTTGGAAACAAGTGAGCCACCCGAGCAGGTGCACGGGCACCAGCGCTTGTAACCTGAGCAAGCTCGGCAGATACGGCTGCTGTCCTTGTTCAAATGCACAGGCTCCTGTGACTAAAAACCTGGCATTTAAAGTCATTACCAAATTTAGAGTAGCTTTCAGTTAATGTCTTAGGTTTCTGAAAAATTTCTGGAGGTTAAAAAAAAGAGAACCTGACTCTTAAAATGCTTAGGAAACTCTTATCTAGTGAAAATTCCTGATATTGAAGAGCGGCGACCCGGAGACTCAGAGGTCACACGGTGTGCCCCAGAGCACACCTCTGGGCAGCGCGGGGCCAGCCACAGCTCCAGCAGACCTCAGCGGCCACGCCAAGTCGCCTCCAGAGCCCGCACTCACCTGAAGGTAAGTCCAGCTCCACGCCGACCCACGTGCCCTCCTGAAAGTCCGTCGGCCCGATGTACCTCACGATGCCCGTTTTGTTGGTGCCCACGGTAACGTATTCTCCCTCCTTGAGCCACTCGGGGACTTCGCTGGCTTCTTCAGAATCTGAGGAGACTTCTGGCTTTCCCAGGGCCTGTCCCCCAGAGCTGCCGCTGCCCGGCCCCCCAGGGACCAGGGGGTCCTCCTCAGCACCAGAGGGGCAGCCGGGCTCTCCGCCGAGCATGCGCGTGAACGACTTCAGCTCCGAGGTCCTCACCTTCCGGATTCTGAACGGAGATGCTGGGGCAGGCGCCTGAGGCAGGAGATCAGAAGGCAGCTGTGGTTTGCAGACATCCAGCTCCAAGCCAGTGGCCGGCTTCGCCTGGTCCTGGGGTCTTCCTGGCTGCTGGGTGGCAGAGGAAACTTCTCCACTCTGCTGGCTGGGTGATTCGTTCTGGGGGGCAGAGGTGGGAAGACAAGTTGGAGAAGCGCTGGCTTCTTTGTTTGGCTTCTCCCAGGAACCTGCTTCCTTAGCCTCAGATGCACCACTGCTGCCGCCCCGAGCATTCTGCTTCGCCGGGCCGGGCAGTGACTGAAGGCTGCTCTGAGCCTCCAACTGGGCAGAAAGACTGTCTGTGCTGGCCGTTGCAGGTGGAAGCGGGAGCTCGGCCTCTGGGCTGTCCTGGCAGAGGGCAGGAGGGGGCGAGCCGGGCGTCTGCCCGCCAGCCTGGGCAGCGGCATCCAGGCCAGGGATGAGTGCATCAGACAGCGTGGCGGTGGAAACACTGTGGGAAAAGTACCCGCTGGAGGCCTCGCTCAGGGGGCTGGGCGGCCCCTCCTGAGTGTCCGGGGCCTGGGTGTTGGCAGGGACGGCCTGCTGGGGAGGCGCTTTGGTTGGTCTGTCGCAGATCTTCGCCACAGGGGCCGTCTGCACAGCCCCGTCAGGAGCCGCGCTAATCTGCACGCCCTCTTGGTGAGCCTGTAGCTGGAAAGGGGGAAGCGTAACTGGTTAGGATGCAAAAGTGAGATAGACTTTGTTGTTGGCTGAAACGTCACAGCTTCGATGGTAACAGCGTGTTGCCGGGCAGTAGGGCAGACCTGGTTCCAGCATCAGTTCCACCACCTGCGTCCACGGGACCTGGCATCTCACACAGCAAATGCTGAGGGGCCGACTCCGCCCCAGCAGGTTCCACACTGTGCACCCTGCTGAGAGCTGAGCAGCCCTTCCATCTCCCCACCTTACATACAAATCAGATTCTAACAGCTGCCTGCGATGCTGTGATTTATAAAGAGAAAGAGACTTTTGGCCTTCATCCTGTTTCTGGTACGGACCTCCTAAAACCCTTGAAATTTTCTAAGTGTTAAAAGCAATAAAGGTGTCTTGATATTCCTAAGGAGCCCCTTCCAACAATACCTGAGTTTATGCTGATGAGGTGACTATTGGACTGCACCTAAGGATGGGGGGCTGGCTGCCAGGGGAATGAACCTTGTGACTAGAGGGCTGGAACTTTCCATCCCAATCCCAACCTCCGGGGAGGAGAAAGGGGCTGGAGGTTGAACCAATCACCAATGGCCAATGATTTAATCAATCACACCTACGTAATGAACCCAAAAGAACGGGCTTCTGGGAGCCTGCGGGTTGGAGAACACGTGGGGATTCAGGGAGGGTGGCACAGGTGGAGGACAGGGAAGCTTCGTGCCCCTTCCTGCATACCTTTCCTGTGCGCTTCTTCCATCTGCTGTTCCTGAGCCACATCCTTTTCTACTAACTGGTAATCTAGTAAGTAAACGGTTTCTCTGAGTTCTGTGAGCCACTCTAGCAAATGAGTCAAACCCAAGGAGGGGATCATGGGAACCTCCAACCTAGAGCCGGCTGGTCAGAAGCACAGGTGACAGCCCAGACTTGAGCTTAGTGGGTAAGGTGGTGGCAGTCTTGTGAGACTAAGCACTTAACCTGTGGGGTCTGCCGCTATCCCCGGGTAGACAGTGTCAGAACCGAGTTGAACTGTATGACACCCAGCTGCTGTCGGACAATCGCCTGGTGGTGTGGAAACAATGCATAAGCGACTGCCACACAGGGTTGCTGTGGGACGACAGGCAGGCGAAGGCCCTCACCACAGAGCGCGGCACCCAGCAGGCGCACACTAAAATCACGATTCCCTCATTCCCCCCAGAATGCCCCACCTCCCTGCACTCAGGCTTAGAGCTCCGCTCCTGTGGAAACAGACCCCTCCCCACCCCGACTTCACAGAGACCAAGAATCTCTAGAGGCCAGAAGAGCACTGTTCTCCCACAAAATTGAAATGATGATCTCACTGGAGGATCGGACAGGGCTAGAGCGCAGCTTCACAGGCTCAGGCAGAAGTGACCCTCGGGCCTGCGGGCTGACTGGCCATTCCTGGCTGGGCCACAGAGGAAGGAAGAGGGGACAGTGGCTGCCTGCAGGCCATGCCCTTTCTCTGAGAGGCTATCTTTCCGGCTGCTGCTGAAGGCTGGTCCCATGTCACGGGTCAGGGGCCCTCTGATCCTGGCAGACACAGGCCAAGCAACAGCCGGCCCCGCAGTGAGGAGCAGCTGAGCAAGGATGGAGCCCAGCGGCTGGCCTCTCCCTCTCACGTCACTGTCTGAGTCACGCTGGCAGACACACACAGAGCCCCATCTCATGGGGGATGACGACAGCCACTGTCCATCCAAAGTCTGCTGTTTCTGAGGGGCCTGTAAGGTGCTCTTTCGCTGACAACTTAAGCCATCTTAAGCTTATCTTTCTATTCCGATTCACAATGACAGGGGAAAAGAGGCGGCAGGAATGGGGAGTGGGGCAGATGTGGTGAAGAGGGGTGTTCAGAAAAAGAAATATGTTCTCCAATATTTACGGAAAGATTATTTATATTACAGGAATGGCCATTTTCCATTTGAAATGCAGGATTTATTTGAACTGGGAAACAGCTGAGATCTATAAGTCTCTTACAGTTACTTGGCTGAACTCAGCAGTTTGATAAATCATGCATTTTCACGTGAATTGTCATTTACATTCCTGTCTCTGGGGGCCTTCCTTTCCCCCCTAGGCACACTTTCAGGGTACGAAATTAACGGTGCCTCTTGAGATTAACAGCCCATTTTTGTGATGGATCTCTAGGCTGCAAAATTTACTAAATCCAATAGATCAATAACTGTCACCAGCATAAATACTCTAAAAGATTAGGCAATCCTTCAATCATTTTTTTTGCAAGTTGTACATGTATTATTTATTCTTTTCTATTTTATTTTTAATATCACTGACCAGGAAGGGAAGAAAACACAAACAAAACTACAAGAGACTAGAATCTGAATGATAATTAAGGTCCCAAAAGAGTATGTGTTCCCTATTCCCCCGCGGGATGAGACCCCATCATGCCAGATCGACAGCAGCCTGCTAAGGGCCAGCTAGGTCCTGTCCAGAGCAGGGAACGGTCCAGTGACAGTGCCTTAGGTTTCCCTGGTATTAGCCCATTTGCTTCCATATGAATCCTTTGATGTAGGCCAGGAAGTATGATCACGTTCATTTTACAACATGGCCCAGAGAGGTTACAGGCTTCAGCCAGAGCCTCCAGTAAGTGACAAACCAGGGATCAGGGATCAGAGCTCAGATCCACAGTGACGACAAAGAAGAGAACAAAGGTGGCAGAAGGCAACCCCTGATCGCAGTGTTCCTTCCTGCTGAGCCCGAGCGCAGCCTCCGATTCCTTCCATTAGCGCCTGGCAGGCAGCTGCTCCCACTTGACTGGAGTAGACATGTGAGTGGAAACCTATTTGCCGTCCTCGGGGTAGACCCTTACCATTAACATTTCCAGAGACTGCTGGGAGAGCCTAGACTTGAGGAAACCACCACGATGAGCAGCACAGCTGCCCTGAGCTGCGGACACAGTGGGAGGTCGAGGGTCCTCACCAGTTAGGGACTTGGTCCCATCCTGTCCCATTGGCCGTGGGGCCCCAGTCCTGCCTCAGCAAAATCATCAACACTACTCGGAGGCGACAGCAGGGGCCCACAGATCTATCTTCAGTTACATTCGTGAACACCAAGGATGTCCTGGAAAAGGGCCTTTTAGAAAGGAGTGAATTCATGGAGGTCTGAATTTCCTTTCCAATTATTTGGCCTTTTTGTTATTGTTTTAATAAATAAAATTTTCCTGTGAAGATAGAGCATTTCCTAAGAGAATGAATGCACAGTGGGAGAAAACAGCTTTGCTATTCATAAGATGAGAAGTGCTGTTCATCTGCGGGAGATCATAAGAGACTATTTTCTCCCCAGCTTAGCATTAGTCTTTTCACGCTGATATCATGAATCAGAATAAAATGTAAAACCGAGAATTAAGCAAACACTTAGAATAAGGAGATTGTTCTGTTTATAGAAATCGCCTTTGCCTAGCAGTGGGCTATTAACGCAGCAGACTACATTAGCAGTCAAGCACCTAAAAGTTTAGCAATCATATGATTAACACGCTGAAAATAGAAAAGTGTAACAAGGAAAATAGAGAGGGAGAAGACAGTGACCTACATGGTAGTTAATTATCAAAACGGGAACGCTAAAATAAAAAAGCCACGGGTGCAGACCCAACAATTATAGCATTGGGGCCACCCCCACATGTGGGGCAGCCACCTGCCAAGGCGCCACCCCAGCCCGACTAACTCACCTCCGCCATCCTGATCGGCCCGACATCCGGGAGGGCAGACTGCACCAGGATTCGGGGCACCGGCTGAGAAAACAAGGCGGGGTGGGGTGGGGGGGAGGTGCGGCGTAAGGAATCAAGAGAAGCAAAAGAGACAAAACCAGAGGAGGTTTTAATTGAACAGGCTGGAGAGTCCATCAGGAGGACCTACCTGAAGCGAACTTTTACAACTTCCAAGAATTCTAACAAGTCGCTACCCATTAAGCATGCCAAGGGCTGGGTCATCACACATATAAGGAAATGTGAGAAATAAGGACCACAGCAAGCGGCTCAGCCCCAACTGGCAATGCAAGACACACGCTGAACCCAGTAACGGATATGTGGCTGCTGACACGCTCTCAGAAGCTCTCTCCACTCATGCAGGGCACACGTCACTCAAGGGCTGTGTTTCTACCTACAAGCATTACAGGACTTTACAGAGAGAAGTGATCAGAACAGGAAAGATGGGGAAAGGCTTCAGACGGGAGGCGGAATACAAACCAAGCCTTGATGCCAGGGAACACTCGTGGTGCAGCAGGAGGACTGTGAGTGTAGTCCCAGGAAGCGAGGAGGGAGAAAGCCGGTCTGGCTCAGGCACAAGACAGAGCAGGAGGGATCTACGGACAGAGGCTCTAGCATCTGAAGCTAACTGACTCAGGAAATGACGAGGACCACCAGAGATGCCTGAGCAAACAAAGCAGGAGACTGATCCAGTGCGGAAGGAAAAGACTGGAGAAATATCTCAGGACTCAGGTGGGCCAATCACTAATGAGACTCTAGGCACAGAGCAGGTGTGAATTAATGGGTGCTACAACATCACAAGAAAGGACATCGTTACTTATGGATGCATGGTTCAAGGAGCAATAAAGAAGAGTAAAAACATGATTGGCACCAGGATAAGGAGAAGGGATGTCAGGAGAAGGAGCTGGTAACTGTGAAGGAGAGGAAATCAGAAATTCATTCAGTAGTTGCTGAGTTTACGATGGCAGCGGGACATGGAAGCAGAGGTGATTATCTTGAAGAAATCAGGAATCCACTTCTGCCTTTGTTCCCTCAACCAACCTCTGGCCCCTTCCCAGCTCTCCTGCTCCAGTGCAGGAGTCTGGACCTCGCCTCAGAATGCTCAGCTCTAAGAGGGCTCCCTCCTGGCAGAACAAACGCCCCTCGTCCTGTCTCACAGGAGTCAACATTGGGTGTCAGAGCTGGTTTCTGCACAGTACGAGTGTCTTTTCTCTTTTCGGGTCCACAAGGAAAAGCAGCTGGTCACTGATCTATTGTCTAATCTAAATTGCCTAGAGAAGTAAATCCCGCATCTTTCCATTTCCCTTCTTCTGGTCCTAAGCACTCCAGGTCCTCCCAGTTCCCACAGCATATCCGGGTGCCAAAGCCTTCTATGCCATCAAGGCCCTCTGCACAGCATGCAGGCACTAAGGCTGGACAGCCAAAGTCTTGCTTCCTACTGGGCAGCCCACACTCTTAACTGAAGAGACAAGAGCCCACCTGGAACAAGATGGCACACTTAAGGGCATGTGAACCTGAGTTCACAGCACCAAATCACTGCGTTTTGGCAAAGGGGACTACTATAACCAATTATGACTTGGGACGGCCCTTGGGAGAAAAGTGCTAAAACGGATTAATTCTGCTGAAGGTGAGGGAACAGCAAAAGGATTTGAGGAAAGGCACAGAGGAGAGGAGATTAAGTAGAAGGTGGAGCTAAATAGAACAAGGACCTAGGGATGAACTAAAGGAATATACACTTCACTCTGCAAACACTGGGGGCTTACCAGGGCTTTGAGGCCAGGGAGAGCTGGCATCGCAGGTGTGTTTAAGAAAGACAATGTGAGGGGCCAACGGAACAGAGTGAGGGAGGACGCCCTGGTGGCAGCAAGGCCATTGCACACGATGAGGGCCTGAATGACAAGACCCTCCAGCCTCTCCCTCAATTCTTTGACCAGGAAAGAGTCTCTCGCCTCCACTCCCACGACACAGTCCTCCTTCCCTCTCTTACAGCACCTCCCCTGTTCCCCTCACAGGAGCTCTCTCCTTCCCTTCTCTGCGTCAACCCCATGAGAGTGCAGTTATTTTCAAGCAAGTACCCTCCACTCTGCCTTAGAGTCTTTGAAGGCAGGGGCTGCTTATCTTTATTTCCATTTTTCCCATTGAATCTGAAGTGCCCCCCAAATGGAAAGAGGTTCACAGCATATTTCTTAGCAAAGACAGAAAACAGTTTCTTAAGCTCAAACTCCAAAATACTTACATTCTTTAGATTTTATTCAAAACAGACAAGATTGGGGTGAAATTTCCCCTTAAAGCATAAAAATGTAAAAATCCCAGCAAGGAAGGAACCATAACCACACAGGATGAAACCTCTTCTAAGATGATGTGACTCCTGCCTTCCTAAACAGAGCGTGGAAACGTAATTCACACTTTCTCTATGACTCAGAGTAATTAGAAAAATCCAGTAAATGATTAAAACAATGTTTGCTAAAATGAATTAAAGGCCCAGCTTGACTCTGACACTATGCTGGAATCCAGCAGACCCACAGGCTTCATGGTGCCACAGCCCCTGGGCCCTGACATCATGGCTCCAGGCTACTAAGCTGAAGACCTCATGTCTACTGCTCACAGGTTTCCTGTCACTATCACTGACTCTCACTGACCACATCCTGATGATCAGGCAACATTCTGCTTCATAAAGATGTCCACCATGACTCCCACCATTCAGATAAAGTGCAAACCAGTGATGATTAAACACATCTGAAATGGCTAAAAATGGTGTCAAAACAAGGTTAGATCAGGTGTGAGTGGGTCCTGAGTGTAATGTCAAGTACTTTGACCACACCTACTTCTCCAGTTCACACAGCAGTAGCTTCGTGGCGCCTCCCTCCACGGGGTGCTAGGTAGTGGTGGCTGCCAGATATTAACTCCGTACAAGTGAGGACCACAGGTAGATACTTCTCCGACAGAGGATGTTTGAAAGGTACACACTAAGGAGTGTGGGGGTACACAAGACTGGCCATGTGTTAATTTTTATTGAAGCTAGTGATGAGCTATAGTATTCTCTCTACTCCTGTATATTTCAAATTTTTCCATAATTCTGCCCTCCATGAAGATAACTGGAGCTCTGATCCAATGTCTAAGTTCAGTTCAACAACGACTTAGGTCTCACAGTGCACAAAGCATTGCAAAAAGCGCTCCAGAGAACTCAAAAGTCAGAAAGACGTGGGCTTTGCTCTCAAAAGATTGGCAATCCAGTTGGGGGAAGGACATGTATGCAAACAATTAAAACATCAAGGAAAATGATAGATATTAGAATGGAAGTATCCAAAGCAGAGAACAGTCAGAGGAGGAGGGATCACAAATGGAACAGGCCTAGAATGCCTTCACAAGGGCTGCTCTTTGAGACAGGTCTTGATTGAGCGGCCTCTCCCAGGGCAGAGGGACCCCTCACACATGAAGAGAGGCACGAGAAAGGCAGCAGCCCTTGGTGTCTGATGTGTCCCCTCTACTCACATCTCTACCCCAGGAAAAGCCTCTCAATCTTCCAGAAGGTCTTGGGGAAGAGAGAATGAGCTAGACTGACCAGCACTGGGCAGAGGGAAGGAAGGTTAGGGCCAAGTGGAGGAGGTCTTGGGAGCTTATGGTTGATTTTCACAGGCATTAAGGAGCTATCAAAGGTTACTGAATGAAGCAGTGATAAGAACTATGCTGACAGAAGATTAATCCTTAAATAGGGGAGATACTAAACTTGGAGAGACCAATTAAGAAGTTGCTTCAATGGTTCAGTGGAGAGCTAATAAGAGCCTTAACTTGGATGGTAAGAGGAAAAGGAAATAGAAACGAAAATCTAGAGATATCAAGGAGACTACCAAACACTTGGAAACAACTGGCTGTGGAAGCTGAGGAAAGAGTCAAAGACGATGCTCAGGGAGTACGGATGATAGGGAGAAAAGTAATGGTGGTATTAGCAGAAACAGCATGAGTGTGTGTGTGTGTGTGTGTGTGCACGCGCACCTGTGCCTGTGCATACCTACAGGCTGAAGGGGGGATACCTAGCTTTCTACATTTGGCAATGGCTTGTGATGAATTCAGCAACCTTAGTCAGGGTATCAGAAATACCTGCAAAGTGCAGTGAAATCTTAAGTGTGCCATTTGTCCTTTACACATAACAGCTCAAATTTCCAAATGTGTATTGTTTGCATTTTAATGCTCTTTCACATATCCCCTGTGCAGACAGTTGCTTCCTATTTCAGGAGCTCAAAACATTTCAGATCATAAGTTCATTAATCCTTACGACACATCTGGTAACTATTAATAAAAATGACTGCAAAGTATTTCGCAGCTATAAATATTAAGCAGAAGTCCCATGCGGCAAACGAATATAAGCATAATTATCTGCGTTTCACACTGCAGAAACCAAGGCTCAGAGGCTTTACCTAATGGTTAAACACGCACAGAGACAGAGGTGGAAAAGGAGTGAGTTCTCAAGCGCCAGCTGAACCTGCAGTCCCGCTGTCCACTGAGCACTGCTGAAGCTGAAGAGATGAGTCGGTCACGGGCAAGGGAACTGCTTAGACGTGTTTGAGGGAAAAGATGACGGTCACTTCTCATAGCCTATCTTGTCGTTATTTAACTCTGGCTTTCACAGGCCACATGAATGAAAACAGGGCAGAATAGCTCAGAAGTTCATCACGAGGCATAAAAGCTATGGTTGGAGACCCCGCTGCCTAGAAGAATAAAGTTTAATTCGTTGGCATGACGTAAAGACGACCCCCCACATGAGGGTGCACCCTCTCCCTGCTTCTTAGATGAACCCACTCTCAACTCCTTGAATGCGCTGCTTTGCCAGGGCCTGCCTCACGCTGTTCCTTCCCCCTAGGGAATCACGTTCCACCTGGTGAATACTTGTGCATTTTTGAGTCTCAGCTCAAGCATGATCTACTCTTCCTGAAACCGCAGGCAGAAACACTCACTGCGCTCGCTGCACACCCCCAGACAGACACACAACTCCAGCACCTACATCATCATCCTACTGATCCAGGGACACA